TTCAGCTGCGTTGTACTCACACGTGACAATTAAACTAAGGAGTTTTTCAGAAACAAATCGTTTCTTCTCAGTACCAACTTTTTCTCAATGAGTTAGTGATTTTCGTGTTTCTCATTTATGCAGAAGCGGATGCTATAAATGTGCTCAAAATTCCAACACTTTTCGCTTTTGATAGAGTAAAGGACAGTCTATCAGCATGAGGAACAAGAGCAATCTAGCAGGTCCGTGCTAGAGAACTTAATCAGTTATATCGTTGTTTGTAGTTTAAAGAGACCAAAGAATCGAAGTGGGGCAATCAATATAGAAATGCGGACAGAAAAGTACAGAAATTCCCTAAAGATTAAGTCAACGCTCACCATTGCGCATATTAGGCTGGTAACGACGAGCTGGGCGAGTTGGCCTTGGAGCACTTGACGGACATGAGCTACGTCGAAGAGCCGACTCATAGCGCTGCATCAGAAGCTGCATCCTGTAAGATAATATCGTTAGTTGCTTGGATAAAGAAAGATCATATGCAAATGTACGCCTTGATAGTTACATCTGCAAACATCCAAAAAGGGAAGCTCGATATGACAGTGAACGCCGGCGATGTGAAAGCGAGAATTATGAATGGATGGGAGTTCTTAGCCCGACTTCATTATCAAAATTCCATTTCCTGCTTGGCAAATTACCCCCTTTACCCGGGTATAAGGGGGCTCGTGTTTGATGCTGCCGTGAGCTGTGCGTGCTATGGCGACCAAAGTAGAAGCTACGCATAGAATATACAATGACGCTCATAACTTTTCCAAAAAGAAAAGTGACTCCACTTTAACTTCTTTCAAAATAGATACTTTTCAGAAGGGAAAGCAGTGTTAGACTCAGTTCGTCCAGACGAATAAGGTATGCCACACTTACAGTAACTCCTAAGGAGTACGGTAGATACGGTAGGAAATCATTGTAACGAATCCTTCTGAAACTTTGCATAGGCGTGGTCTACAATCCCACGCAAAATATCAGACGAATTCGCGATGTTGACTTCCTACCTATCTACCGTACACCTTGAATGTTACTGTAGTGTGGCATAGCCTAAGGTTGGCCTGGACCAGCTAAGCTCAACACCTTTTGCTTTTAAAAAAAATCTATCTTGAAAGAAATTACGACGATACGACGCTTGCGACGGATTTTTATGTGGGAATACGTTTTTTTGGCAAATGTCTGATGCGCGTATCTTCGAATATCTACTAACTAAACTGCATTTC